GTGCGCGACCAACGCCTGGCTCTGTTAAGGTTTTATTTTGTATAGTAACAAGTTCCTGGGACTAGGGTCTCATAGACAACCTGCTCTGAATAATTTTAATGAAATTTTAATGAGTAAAATCCAGCCTCTCTACAATTTTTAAAAAGTTTTAAGAAAATTCTTGTTAATTTTTCTTTCCTCCACAAGTAGTTAGTGGGGTATTTGTGAGGAATTTTTCTTCTGTTCATTAGCAGTTCCTTGACCTCTTTCTGGCTGAGTTCCAGATTTGGCCAGCACAGAGGCTCAGCAGATAAAGGAAGGTGTTTTTATGTTACATATATAGCATGTACTCTGTCTTAAACCCTGGTTTGATGTTCTGAGATGCTCACTGACCTGATTCACTAGAATCCTCTGTGTGAGGAGTAGAAATTGGGCAGCAGTCTCAGAGTCACCCACGCTACTGTGGGGGTCATGTGGATGTATTGCACCAGAGCCCATTCAGGGATGAGTGCTCCCATTTGTAGCCATTTTGTTCTTTATCATCACTTGTGACTTGCAGCAGGTGGGCAGATGGTGGGAAGTGATGTGGGCGTGCACACACTTGTTGGGAACTGAGGGGGAATTTTTTTGTTGTTGTTGTTCATTCTTTGCTTTTCCCTAGAATGGTCTCTCTCTCTCTCTCTCTCTCTCTCTCTCTCTCTCTCTCTCTCTCTCTGTGTGTGTGTGTGTGTGTGTTTATCTCTCTCTCCCCCCTTTCTCCTCTTTCTTTCTCCTTTCTTTCTTTCTTTCTTTCTTTCTTTCTTTCTTTCTTTCTTCTTTCTCTTCTTTCTCTTCTTTCTTTCTTCTCTTTCTTTCTCTCCTTCCTTCCTTCCTTCCTTCCTTCCTTCCTTCCTTTCTTTCTTTCTTTCCCTGAAGTGAACCCCAGAGACAGATTCTAAATTGGTGCTTGCTTCTTGGTTAGCACTCAGTAAAAAGTTTAGTGAACTCAAGATCTTAGGGAGTTGGGCATCATGGTGCATGCCTGTAATTCCAGCACTTAGTGGGGAAAGGAAGGAGGATTCTGAGATATAGGACAGCCTAGGCCAGATAGCAAGACACCCCCTCCCCCAAAAGCCAAAAGACTACCACCAACAAAAAATAAAAGCTGCCCTGACAAAACAAGTAAAAACCCAACAAAACTAACATCAAGCGAGGAAAAACAAGAGCAAAAGCAACCCAGAACTTAGTACTTGAGACTATTAAGAGCTTAGCTGGACTGGAAAGCCTGTTGCAGGGAGAAGGCCCTGTGGTGCATCCACATCATTTGTGTCTCAACACTAGCTCCACATAAGGCTCACTTGGGCAATTTATAAACCTTGTAAGTTTTCTGAGCCTACACAGTGATCTAATGTTCAGCCAGAGTCAAGAACTATTGTGTTAGCCATTATATACATGGTATTATTCTATTTTGCATTACTCAATATACTTGAAGCAAGTTAGCTTTATAAAAACAGAGGTTTAATAAGGTGATAGTTTTGGAGGCTGAAGGCCCCAGTAGCATGGCACAGGCTCTGCTGGGGCTCCATAATAGGTGGCAGAGTGCAGAGAATCTCATCTCCGAACAAGAAGTCCGGGAGCTGGACAGGGCCATATTTGGTCCTTTCATAGCACCCTCTTTATGAGAACTCCCCTTTATTTTAAGGGAAATATCATCAATAATTAAGGGCTTTGCACTAGGCTCGTCTCTTAAAGGTCGTACAGTAACTTCCAATACTACGAGACTTGGGACTAAGCTACTGATACATAAATCATGGGGCAAAAATATAATTAAACTGTAGTGGAAGCAGTAGATAATGAAGAATGTGTTCAGGGTATTATGAATGAATTGCTGAGTTGATTGATTAGTCCCTTGTTGAAATTGCTGTAATACATTCAAATCCTTCCCTTTTAATGTAATGAATATGAGGGACACATACCAGGTTGATTTCTAAGGTGACATTAAGACTCTGTGTCACAAAGGCCCCAGAGGTGTCCCCTGAGTGATCTTTGATCACAGTTTTGTCTTGCCCACAGAACCTGAAGCATCTGTAGCAAATACTAGCTGCTTCCTCCAAAGTCGGATGAAAGTGATAGTAGACTGAGTTTTAGTAGATGAGAACTGTAGCTAGGAATAACTTGGCCTATAGTAGAATATGGTTGTTTAATTAATTGTTAATTTGTTGTCTGAGCAGTGGGCCTCATAGTAAGATCCTCACTCTAGAACAGGATTTTTTTTGTTTGTTTGTTTTGAGGTTTTGAAACAGGGTTTCTCTGTGTAGCTCTGGCTGTCTTGGAACTTTCTCTGAAGACCAGACCAGGTTGGCCTCGAACTTAGATATCTGCTTGCCTCTGCCTCCCTAGTGCTGGGATTAAAGGCATGAGCCACCACCTCCTGGCTCTAGATGAGTCTTCATTCTTATCTTCATGTTAGAAATGTAATGAGTGCTGTTTCAGGCTCTGAACAGTGGATATGACCCAGATACATATGAATTATACCTGCATTTCTGAAGCCTTGTAGGATGTCTGTGGATCTAAAGCTATTTAGTTCACTGCCCTTGAGGAGGTGTCTGTAAGGACCACATTGTGACTTGGATGATTTAGTTCCTCTAAGCCCAGACTGGTTAGCTGATGTGATGTGGCATCTTCCCTTTAGGATGAAGACCCTGAGACCAGTTGGATTCTACTTAATGAAGATGACTTGGTCATCCTTTTGTCCCAGTTTCCCTTTCATGAGCTCTTTCAACATCTTCTTGGGTTTAAAGCAAAAGGTAGATAATTTTTCTTGTCATAACTGGAAGGTGGTACTGGTCAAGCTCCACATAGGAAGCATCAAGTCTTGCGTTTGGGTAGGCTGTTGATGGGGTCTTCCTGTGTAAACCTCCTTTCTCTTATATTTACTTTTGTTTTTTACTTCATGCTTAAATGAAGAAGGCTGACTAGTGTACATGTTACCTAGGTAAAATACATTGATCTTAATGTGCATTCCTTCAAGTTCCCTGTTTAACTTTGAAATTGAACCAGAGAGATGGGATTAATTCCTCTGCCTCCTGGTTTTCTCACTGAATTATACACCTGTGTTCTGTAGTGTTTTGTTATAGTAATTATATTTTTTCCTATCTGTTTCACTTTTAGGTGATTATTTACCTGAAACAACAAGGCCCCAAGAGATGATGAAAATTTTTGCCTTTGCCAACTCATTAGTGGAACTCCTGGCTGTGGGGTTAGAAACCTTTAACAGAGCCCGCTATCGGCAGTTTGTGAAGCGCATTGGATACCTGATTAGGTAATGTTGCTGTTGGTACATCTTGCTGATGTCTCCTTGCTTAGACACAGACACTGCGAGAGGATGGACGTTTATACTTAGGTCTTCTCATAGAAGTGGTTCTCCCATCAGCCAAATGGACATTTTATAAATGTTTCCAGTGAAGTTATTTCATTATCTCAGATTCATTTGATTTTTTAATATAATTATTATTGGAATTCTGATTTTCAAAGCTGCTTCTGGAGAGAAGGGTCAAGGAAGATGCAGGCAGGGTTTCTATTGCTATGAAGAGACACTATGGCTATGGCAACTTTTATAAAGGAAAACATTTAGTTGGGTGGCTTACAGTTCAGAGGTTCAGTCTGTTATCATCATGGTGAGATGTGGTGGCATTTAGGCAGACATGGTGCTGGAGAAGGAGCTGAGAGTTCTATATTTTGCTGGCAACAGGAAGTAAACTGAGACACTGGTGTGGCTTGAGCATATATGAGACCTCAAAGCCCACCCTCACAGTGACACACTTCTCTGACAAGACCACATCTACTCCAACAAGGCCATACCTCCTAATAGTGCCACGCCCTTTGGGGGCCATTTTCTTTCAAACCACAACATAGGCCTTCATTTCTTTCCCTTTCATTTGTTCCCTTTTCCCATCCACAGCCTGCTTTTCCTTTGAATTACCACTGACTGAACTGTGAGGTGTTAGCAGTAATTCTTCACCACCATTATTCCCCTAGCATCCTTCTTCCATTTTTTTTTACTGTAGTTTAAAATATTTAGAAAAGTTTCAAAGACTTAACTAAGTCACACTCTATTTTAATTGGGAGAACTTTATGTATTTGAATGAAAGATGGGTTTCTGGTTTTATTAGCAAGTGTGTGAAAAGTTTTTTGAATTTATGTACTTCTTTTCTCTGAATCCACTTCATTCCCTTTTCTACATCTTTAGTTTTTTTTTCTGAATTATTCCCTATGGCACATACATAAGCTATTTTTTTTCAACCTCTTCCCTCAAAAAGAAGTTCATAAAAATGCAAAATCAGAAGGGACTTTGAGAGCCCATTCCACGTGAAGAGATGCACTCTTGCCCTGGACACATGGGGAAGGGCCCAGGCCCAGCCCAGGATGATGTGGTGGACTTTGTGGAGCCCTGGTTGAGGGCCCTACCCTGCCTGGGGAGTAGAGGGTTGATGGGGTGGGGGGTAGATTGGGGATGAGGGGAGGGAGAGGGAGAAGGGACTTACATGTGAAACAAGCGTATTCCCTAACTTGAACTAATAAGTAAGTTTTAAAAAAAGAAGAGTTGCAAAAAAATATTAATTCTGAATGATATTGGGGTAACCTGCAGCCCACATGTAACTGGGGATAGCTGTGAATGCAGCCTGATGTGAAATGTCAGTACCAGCCATGTGCTGGATCAGTCATTTTTCTTACCATCGTTCTTATGCCTCCTGCTAAGTGCATTACCATGAGGGGTGGCTTCCATGTCCCTGCTAAGATTGCCTTCAGAACCGAGCAGTTAGCAGTTAGCCCTTCACATGTGATACTGAGTGAGTGACTGAAGTGTTGTGTTATTTTCCTCATGTTCAGGGTGAACCTTGGCTATGTCAGTGACCACTGGGCTCAGTATGTGAGCCATAGCACAGGCATGGGATTAACACTACAACCCTACTCCGTGGAGAAACTGCAGATTGAATTTGATGAGCTGTTTCTAAGAGCTGTCCTATATGTCCTGAAAGCTAAAAGGTAAGAGGTAAGGGCTTCCTGCCTGGGAATGTAGGCATGTGTCTTAGTGTTTTTATTGCTATGAAGAGACACCATGAGCACAGCAAATCTTCTAAAGGAAAACATTTAATTGGGGCTGACTTACAGTTTCAGAGATTCAGTCCATTATGGTGGGAAGCATGGTGTCCTGCAGGCAGACATGGTGCTGGAGAAGGATCTGAGAGTTCTACATCTTGATCTGCAGGCAGCAAAAGGAGACCGTGTGCCACACTTCTTAATAGACCACTGTCTATGAGCCAAGCATTCAAACATGAGTGCGTGTGTGCGTGCGTGCGTGCGTTCGTTCGTGTGTGTGCGCGTGTGTGTGTGTGTGTGTGTGTGTGTGTGTGTGTGTGTGTGTGTGTATCTTGGTATCTTGGATGTTGTTCCTCAGGCACCTTCCATGACATCACAGTAATAGTAACCATAACTAAGATAGCCTCTCTCTCATTGGGGTCTCAAAAAGGATCTTTGGTTTAAAACCCAGCACTTTTTCTTAATATTCTCTATGTCTCATGTGAAATTTGTGATGATAATATTGCTTTTGTTTTTGTAAGGGTGGGATGAGTGGATGGTATATTCAGATTGAGCCTTCCTAGCACAGAAAGATCAAAAATTAGAAACTTCTGATGCTAATATTATGTAACAAGTGGAAAATTCCACATTTTACCTCATGTTCTATGCCAAAGTAAACATAGTAAAATCTATATGAAGTTATCATTAGAGCCGTGTGTACAAAGTACACGCAAACGTCCAAATACAATCATTGTATCTTGCTCATATTTGCCCCTTCTACCTCTCTGGCTGTCTTCCTCCCTCTGACTGGTCTGCTTGCTCTCTCCAAATGGCCCTTCTGCTGATTAAAATTGCATTGTATTTATGCACACATATTCTTTATCCATTCATCTATTAATGGATGTCTAGTTCCATATCTTGGCTGTTGTGAATTATGTAGCAGGCTTTCATGTTTAGACTTCAGTCTCCTCCATGGTACATGCTATTATATATGTGCAAATATTCCAAAATAAAAAAATTCCAAAAATTTCATACTTTTAGTACAAAGCATTTTTGATAAAAGATCCCTCCACCCTGTGTGTGCTTGTGTGCAAGTGTGTGTGTGTGTGTGTGTGTGTGTTGGAAAAAGTTAGGGAAGTGGGACAGTTGAAGTCTTGTTTCCACTTTCTTGTGTGGTGAAGATTTCTAATATAAAAAATTTTTCCTGTTGCTTTTTAAAATGTGCAGACTTGGCATTTGGCTGTTTATGTCTGAGATGCCCTTTGGCACGCTGTCAGTCCCGATGCTTTGGAAGCTCTTCTACCTCATGCACCAGGCTGAGAGTGGGAACCTGCAGCACCTGTGTACTTCCCTGCAGCCTGCCGAGTGCAAGAGGCAACTCCAAGGTACTTGACCAGGGCAACTCTCTCCCTTTGTGTGCTTTGCTCTCTAAGCGTTATGCTTTTAGAAGCATGATGACATGATTTTGACATTCGTGAGACTGCTTCATTGTTCTGATGTGTTAGATAGAAGGTGATTCATCTCAAACCCAATTAATTCAGTTAGGTCCAAATTCTGTGCAGTAAACACAATGGCCTAACTTTGATAAATTGTTTTCTTTCATGTGTAAAATTCTAGTCTAATCACAAGTGATGTTAATTGGTTTGAAATTTGTTAAGGTTTGTGCCAGTTGTTCCACTAATTTTTTCTGTTTTACTTTTCTTAGTTGTATTGATTTTATGACGTAGGAAGAGGTAGACAGGAATTCTTCAAAAGCTTAATTTTGTAGCACAATGGTAGACTGTGTATGGACTTTGTATGTATAAGGTTTGAGGTTCAATTCTCAGCAACAAAATAAATCCCTGAAACCAAAACAACAAAAATTAATTTTAGTGAATACTTGATTACGTTTTAGTGCATACTAAAATTGAACTGCTGGGTATTTGCTTTTCAGAATTGAGGCATAGTTTAATGTTAACTTTTTGCTCTGAGTCTACATTATATTTGTGTATTTTGAACTCTCAAAGTTCAACTGATTCAGCTTTCTTTTTGAACCTGTAGGAGTCCATTTTAGAAAGGAGAAGATTCTTTTTATCTTTAAATATTTGTGAATTTTTAATTTTAATTGTTTTTTCCTTCTGGTAGTGTAACTAAATATATGTACCTATTTCTCCACTTTAATTTTTTTGATATGAATTTGCAGACCCAGAACATTTTGCAAACTTGGAGAAGTATCTTTCTTCCATGAATAGCTCTGAAGAGATTTGCCTTCTGACGACCTTTGCTCAGATGGCTCGGGCCAGAAGAACCAATGTAGATGAAGACTTCATAAAAATGATTGTTCTGGAGATATATGAGGTTAGAATGTGAAGTGTTGTGAGTGCTTTCTTCTGACTGTCCATTCACTTTTGGGTATTGCTTTTAAAAACTGTGACTCACTGAGCCATTGCTGGCACTTATGGACTGGATGGAGAGTCAAAGGGACAATTTGTGCTATAGGAAATTTTGAAAACCTGTATTTTATTATTCTGTTTCCCACTGCTATTTTTTGGTTTGTACAGCCTGGCATTGAAACTTTTATTACTGTAGCCACACACCAAATGTCACTCTTCTACTCCTGTCAGTAACATGGAGACGTGACTTCCAAGTCACTTTAAATGAGATCATGGAACAAATACTGAACTTGGAAGAGAAGTTTTGGTTTAGCTCTGCTGTTAGTTGTCGATCTTAAACAGAAACCATAACTTGCCAGCCTGCCTTCATTTTCCTCATTACACAATGACAGGCTGTGGTAAGATCCCGCTGTATTTTAGTTTTTATCTGCTCTTTCTCTAATAGAGGAGAAATACAAGGATTGCAAGGATGTCCCTGAGATCCCAGACACTGGGATTATGAGCAGTTACAACAAAACTGCATAGAAATGGCTGGATTCTCAGGTGGGGACCAATAAATCTACTCTCTTCTCTGAGGGAATGAAAGCTGCACCAACAAGCCCAGCTGTGGTGATCATTTGTGAGCAGGCACAGTGAACTGAAGATAGTGGTTATTTGTCTTGGAGGACAGTCCTGTAAAACACACTGAGAGTTTAGGAACTTTACACTTAGGGTTTTATTTTATAGGAGACATTGTGTATTCCTATGAAATATATTAAAAAAAATTCATTTTAGGCTGGGCATGGTGACGTATGCTTTAGTCCTAGCACTTAGAAGGCAGAGGCAGGCGAATCTCTGTGAGTTCACAGCCAGGCTGGTCTACAAAGCAAGTCAGGACAGCCAGAGATACATAGGGAAACCCTGACTTAAAAACCGAAAAAAGAGAACAATCATTTTAGTGATTTCTTCAAATTAATGTTTAGATATTCATTTGTTTCATTGTGAATGAGAAGCTTTATTTTTGAGATGAGATCTTACTATGTTGCCCATTTGAGCCCATCTCTTGGGTTCAAATGATTCTCCTGGTTCAGGCTTCCAAGTGTCTGTGGCTTCAGGCTCATCGCCACCAATCATTGCTGGGATACACACTTTGAAATCAGTACTTGAACTCATGGTTACAAATAATTTCTATTTTTCCTCTTCTTCTCCCTGCCCCTCCCCCTTCCAGGCTCAAGGTAGATAGTTTGCTATCTCAAGTTCTGACATAGTTTTGAAAACGGTGTCAGCTGAGGCTCAATGTGAGATTATGTTTTATGGGCAAGAAAAATCTATGAAAATGTGTTTTGATTGATAATTAGCATTAAAAGTACATACTACCCCCCACTTCTCATTTAGGTATCTTATGTCACCCTGTCTACCCGAGAGACTTTTTCGAAGGTTGGTCGAGAGCTTTTGGGGGCTATCACAGCTGTTCACCCTGAGATTATTTCTGTCCTTTTGGATAGAGTGCAAGAAACCATTGACCAGGTTGGAATGGTAAGAATGCTGACTATTTGTTATTTTGAAAGTATTCCAAGTATCTGGGAATGGTGGCACACTCCTTTAATCCCAGCGCTTAGAGGCAGATGTAGGTGAGAGCAGCCTGGTCTACAAAGCGAGTTCCAGGACAGCCAGGACTATTATACAGAGAAACCTTGTACTGAAAAACCAAAACAAACAAATAAATATGAATGAATGAATGAGTAAAGGACTCTTGAATTAATAAAGCTGTGACAGTAATGGGAACATTGTAGGAAATGACTCTCCTACAAAATAAAACCCTAAATGTAAGTTTCTAAAGTATCAATATTGTACAATACTACTAAAGTGAATTGCAATTAATGCAGATCTCAGTGGAGTCCCAACTAGTTTGACTATTAGGAAGTACTCATGAGATGGAGCCAGTCCTGTACAGTCAGGAGGGAGAGGGAAAAGAGAGCCTCATGCGTGGGTCCCTGATATTTGAAGCCTTACTTTGTTACTCTGACCATGCCCAAGTGTCAGCATCACCTGTGCCAGCTCCCAAGTGGACATGGAAAGTGTTTCCCCCTACAATTCCCCTTTTAGTCTAAAAGAGGATTAAAACTTAACAGTGTAAATTATAATTAACAAGCATAAAGGTGAATTACAAGAAGTTATAATAATCTACTGTCACATCAAGCAGGCTGGCACAGGTGGGCGTGGACAGCGTTCTCTCTACACACTACCCTCCACCTTTTGTTGTAGTCAGTCCCTTTTGCAACCCTTACAATAGTCTTAAAGAAGGCTTTATGGAATGTAATTAATCTCCCATAATGTTTATCTGTTGAAAGTGTGCATGCCAGTGATTTTTAGTGTAGCCACAGATGGGTGCAGCCACCAGTACAGCCAACTTCTGAGCATTTTGTCATCATACAGAGAACCTTCTTCATAAGGTTTCCCAAACCCTTAGCTTCATTCCTTATTCCTCATTTTCCTTGGCCCTAAGCAGCCGGTAATCAACTTTCCGTCTTCACAAAGCTGCCTGTTTCAGACATTTTATGTAAGGTGTTTTCTTGTGTCTGGCTTATTTCCTTCTTTTTAAATATTGGGTAGTATTTCATTGAATTTCTATATCACGTTTTGTTTATCCATTTGTCAATTGATAGGCATTTGATTTACTTCCACCTTTTGGTATTATGAGTGTTGCTGTTGGAACATAATTGCCAGTGAATATATTTTTGAGAGGCTTCTTTTAGTTCTTACTAAATTTTTGTTTACTTATTATTCAGTGCATGTATGTGTACGGTGCACTTGTACCTTGAACATGTCACACATATGTGTGGAGATCAAAGGACAGCTTGTGAGGGTTTGTTTTCTCTTTCTACCATGTAGATTCTAGGGAGCAAGCTCAGGTTGTTAGGCTTGGTGGCTAGTGCCTTTGCTTGCTAAGCTATCTCACTAGCCCTGTTTTCAGTATAGATTCCAGTGCATAGAACCCAGAAGTGTGTTTGATATCACTCTTCAAATTGGTACCAAGATAGATTTTATATATATCATATATATGTGTGTGTGTGTGTGTGTGTGTGTGTGTGTATGTTTGTTTTCTTTTTGCCAATTTATAGTTTCAAAAATTGTCTTATATTTTAGACTGTATATTTTAATTTTGTTTATGAAATCCATATATCATTCCTACAAGTTCTTATAATAAAATTAGTGAGGTTTCTTTTTTTGGGGGGGTCTTGCAGTAAAAGCATCAATATATTTTAAAGATTTGTAAAAGTCTCAAAACAGTTTTGAGACTGGATCTTGTTAGCCCAGGCTGGCCTCGAAGCTGTTCATGAGTCTTACATTTAATTACTGTTTTCTTTTTAAAAAGGTTTCTTTATACTTGTTTAAAGAATTGCCTTTGTACCTCTGGCAACCTTCTGCCTCTGAGATAGCTGTGATTCGGGATTGGTTACTGAATTACAGCCTGACAGCAGTGAAGAACAAATTGGCCTGTGTGATTCTAGAAGGACTGAATTGGGGATTTGCTGAACAGGTAAGCCATTCCCAAGAATTAGGAGATTTTACATGCATCAGTTTCAGGAAAATGTTTTCTTAAAGCACTAGCGTCTCTATGTGCCACTTGCTAGGCCTGTAAATTCTTTCAGTTGTGTTAGAGTTTAAGCTCTCCTTGTCTTCTCTTTCTTCCTCTGGGGATTGAACCTAGGACTTTGAACATGTCTGGAAGGCACCCTACCACTGAGCTACATCTCCCAAGTACCCTGTTTTCAATTCTGTTTTGTGCCATGAACATCCTCTAATGAAAGTATTCTACATTAAAAAATATTCTGTTGGACTGGGAATTGACTCAGTTGGTAAAGTGCTTGCTGTACCATTGTGAGAACCCAGTTTACATCTCTAGCCAGCCTGCAAAAGCTGGGTGCAGTAGTGGGGACCCACAACCTCAGCACTGGACAGGTGGACACAGATGGATCCATGGAACTTGTTGGCCAGTGGCCTTCCTATATGCACCCACTGTCAAAGAAAAAGAAAAGAAAGTCTTCCCTTTATCCTTAGACCATTTGAATGTGCTGTTTTGTCACTGGCTAGTTACTTTAGTTCCTCCCAATTGTATCTGCTACCTGAGGTCACTCTTCCTTCTGCAGTTTGTCCTGCATATTGTCTCCAGAGTTGTTTTCTACAGTATGCCTGAATTATGAGTTTGACTTTGCTCTGATCCCAGCTCTGTGACTTCCTGACAGTGTGACTCTGAATAAGCTTCCTGAACTCTGGGCATCAATTGCCCATCTGTAGACATTGATATTAATAGGCTTTCCCCATAGAGTTATTACAGAGAGCTAGAGGCAGTTCTTCCATGTATTAATTCCTCAGTTTAGAATTATTAGATATTATTAAGGGTTTGTTATATACCAAGTCTCCTAAGAGACATGCTAGTGATTTCCTGCCTCTTTACCTGGGTGTTATTAATTAGCTTATTGATCAGAATGTGAACATTTGGGAGGGACAAGGGGAGAAATTAGCTCTACAACTATCTGGCATCTTTTGTTTTGAGCAAGTCATTTATTGCTTGCTGTTGTTTTGTGTGGTTTGCACTCATGGCATGGTGTACAGATGGGAAGATTGAAGCCAGGGGGCCTTTTTCGTGGTGTTTCTGGGATTCATCTGGGCCTTCTGGTAGATGAGAGCCACAGGGATATTGCTCTAACTTTACATTCTCCAGCTTGCAAATGGAACACCTTAGCCTCCCATTTCCCAGATGTCTTCATCCAGATCCCCCTGAGTGTTTCCTCTCTCCTTTGTTAGAGCCATGGGTCAGCCTCTGTGAAAGGAAAGGGGTAGGGATTGCAGTTTTTGAAAATTTCAAAAGGACTATTTGGGATACTATAGGTAACTTCAGGCCTGTAAGGCAGTATTTGCCCATGCTTCTGAATGTGGTATATTCACCGATGATGAAACAACAAACAGGAACATAGACTAGATATAGTAAATATTTTCCTGTGTGATTGATAATAAGCATTTCTTAGATAGGTGGCAATGTTCTTAATCTATAATCTAGGATGGGGTGGTGGTCTTGGGGGTGACTGAGTTTCAGGCATGTCTTGGTGTAGTATACTTGTTCTTTAGAGTTGAAGGTCCTTCCCCTGTTGTCATTTTATAATTTCACTTCAAAGAGATATGGTTTTTGAATCGAATGCCATGTTTCATTGTTCTGCCTTTGTTGTTGTTTTTAATGGACTGTTTATTAAATATTGAATGGTATATTTGTAATTTCGTTTGTTTTAAAAGGGTAATCTTCATTTGGATCAAGCACTGCATACTGAAGTAGCCTTACTGGTTCTCGAGGCTTATCAGAAACACCTCTCCCAGAAGCCCTATGCTGGGCTGCTTTCTGAAAGTATGAAACAGGTACTGATCTTCATTGTCTCGAACTCAGAGAGATATGCCTGGCTCTACCTCCCAAATTCTGGGATTAAAGACCTGTCCCACCACATATGGCAAGAATAATATTTTCGTGGTGATTAGTCTGAGAATTTGGGTTGAGCTATAGGGATGTGCTGGAGCTTACAGGTACAACTCAGGAGAACTGGGTAACATTTTTTAAACCTTTGCAGGTTGGTAGTTAAATTATTGGTGGCTTGATAGTCCTTTTTTTTTTGAACCTATCCTGGAACTTGCTCTGTAGACCAGGCTGGCCTCGAACTGACAGAGATCTACCTGTCTCTGCCTCCTGAGTGCTGGGATTAAAGGCGTGTGCCACCAAAGCCCTGCCCAATATTACTTTTTATACTACTAAATTGTCAAAGGCTGTCAGTAAGGCCCCTGACTCTGACTTGTGGAATGTGTTTATTAGCACTATGGTCTTGAGTGTCAAACTTCATACTCTTCTGCTTGAGCTGAGATCAGGTTCACAAAGCAGTCAGTGCAGTGGGGAGTTGCAAATGGAACATGGCTTTTTAGTACAGTGCAGCAAATGTCAGTTGAAGGGAAGGAAGCAGTGCCTTCTCTTTTGGGACACTGTGGGTCACAAACAGAAGTGGGAAATGAAGTTATTGTTTAATTTGTATATGACTAACATTGTTTAAAATGAACGATTGTTTTAGGTTTCCTATCTGGCCAGTATTGTTCGATATGGAGAGACTCCCGAGACCTCGTTTAACCAATGGGTCTGGAATTTGATCTTGAGGTTAAAATTACACAAGAATGATTTTGGAACACAACAGAATTGTCCAGTTGTTCCCTTCTCCAGCACGGTACCTGACATGACAGAATCACCCATGTTTCATCCTCTCTTGAAGGCTGTGAAATCAGGCATGCCCATTGGCTGCTATCTTGCCTTAGCTATGACAGCTGTTGGCCACAGGTATGTTGAACATCCAGGGTACCTTGAAGGTAGGAGTTCTAGAATCTCAAATTTTCACATCTCAGTCATGAGGCCTTCATTAAACCCATAGAGAATTGATTAGGGTCAGATAAAGAGACTGTTATAAAGGGAGAAATAATGCCCAAATTCATTCCTGTTCACTTGCCAAAACAAATATATAGTTTTTAACACATCTAAAGCTTCCTTGTAGATGGTAGGGACTTTTCTTATTCCTATGTGTGTCTACAGAATTTGTACACAGTAGATATTCAATTGAATGCTGGTAGAATGGATGAGTGTAGGAAGGTGCACCTACCTGATGGGGAGGAGGTGAGATAAGGAAAATGAGGAAATACTTGTAACTGAAGCCAAAGGTTCCTGTTGAACAGAGGTGATGGATGCAGAACAAATTTGGAAGTAGGTAAGAGAGGATGGCTGATCTAGAGAAGAAGGGGTGGTTATTTAGGCTTCAGGGTTGCACTCATTCCATTGTTCCCAGAGTTCTAGTGCCACAATAGTTTCCTAAAGCTCAGGTTCCTTGCCTCTGAAATGGAAATGGTTGTATTGACTGGTTTTATGAAATGTGAGTTAGTCACAATACTCATTGCATACTCAACACAGTGTCTAGCTTGTTTCTTTGACTATAGTTTTCTAAACTTGTTTCCTGATTTCCCCAGATGCTGTATCCATTTTGGGATTGTAGTTTTTATTCATTGCTGGTTTCCTTTTTGTACATACTGATTACTGATGGGAGTCAAAGAGAGAATAAGTGTTTCCCTTTGGAATTGGTTCCATGGCCATTTCTGTGAATAGAAGAGAAGTAACTTAGAACAGTCTTATGGGCTAGGCTCAGGAGTAGACAGAGACTTAGATGTACGCAAATACAACATTATGGGGATACAAGGAATAATAGTCAGAAAGCCACCCAGGGTCATGGTCATGCTAAAACACTGCTTTTAAAATTTTATTTCTTAAGATTTATATATTAATGAATCATATGACTGTGCATGTGTATGCCATAGTGTGTGTGGATAGCTGTAGGCTAGAGTCTATGGATGCCCTAAAGTTGGATACAGGCCTGGAGTGGCTATGGGGAATTGTCCTTCTGGAATAAAAGTACATGGTACATGCTCTTAACCACTCCAGCCCTTTATTCTGTTCAATACTTTTACTTTCTTTTTAGAGGTTATGTTTATATAAGCTCTAAGATACACACACACACACACACACACACACACACACACACACACACACACACACACAATTTTGTATTTTTGTTGTTACTTTTGTAAGTACCTCCTACATGGTAGCCTTTGCACTATTAAGTTTCATTTTTTGGAGTTTTAACAGCAGCATAGGGAAAACCCACTAGGTTCTGCTGCTCCTGTATTCTGGGCATCTATGAGATGAAACTATAGATGAGATTTAAAAAACCCTTTGTATTTCTAAGTTATGATTGTAGTAATTCTGTGTGTAGGTTGGTCATAAAAGTTTTAGAGAACTGAGATAATCCGGGTCTTGTAAGCTTGTATTTCATTGGAGGAACATGATTTTATGAATGAATACTCACTCACACTCCCCTTTCTTTGTCTGTAGCATTGAGAAGTTCTGTTCAGAAGGTATCCCACTGTTGGGAATTCTGGTCCAGACAAGGCATTTGAGAGCAGTGGTCCATGTCCTAGATAAGATTCTACCCATGTTCTACCCTTGCCAGTATTACCTTCTGAAGAACGAGCAGTGAGTATATTCAGCTGACACAAACACCCCAGCAAGTAGGAATGACATTTTCTGGTTTCTAGAGTAAATTAAAAAGGGAATAATATTTTGTTTCATTGGTTGGTCGGTTAGTCATTTTTTGTTGTTTTTTTCTTGGTTTGTAGAAGTACATGTATTATTTTCTATTTGAACTATATTTTGTATTTTTCTCATTTTGCTGCTTTTTTCAGTTTAACTGACTGCCTTTTTTGGGGGGGGGGGTTTCTTGTGGCTTTGGAGGCTGTCCTGGAACTAGCTCTTGTAGTCCAGGCTGGTCTCGAACTCAGATCCACCTGCCTCTGCCTCCCGAGTGCTGGGACTAAAGGCGTGCGCCACCGATGCCCGGGTTTTCTTTTTTTTTTTTTAAAGATTTATTTTTATTGTTAACTTCATGTACTTTATGAGTCTGTGTGACAGTATGGGCATGTGCTTGCAGAGGCCAGAGGAGGGTATCAGAGATCCCTTGGAGCTGGCTGTAAAAGATACTTGATGTGGATGTTGGGAACCACACTTGGTGCCTTTGCAAGAGCAGTGCTTGCTCTCTATTGCTGAATCACCTCTCCATCCCCCAGTAGTAGTTTTTTTGTTTGGTTGTTTTTATTTTTATTTTTTTTTTAAGAGACAGAAAATTTCTGTGCTCCTGTTTAGAATGTGGTTAGTGAACATTGTTTAGATTAATTCTAGTTTCATTGTTATGAAAGGTATTTCCTATCTCACTTAACTGAGAATTGCTTAGAAAGCCTATTAGTATTTAAAAGAACAGTTGTTTCCTTAGACTCTTGGAATAGTGTTCCTTACTTGTAGCGCAATTGTAACAATACCAAAACATATTGTTTTATGTAGCCTATGAGTTGTGGGCAGATAAAGTCATTGGGAAGCAGGAAGAGATGACATGTCCAGGAGGCAAGGACTTGATCATCTGGGGTTCATGAAGAGCAATGAAAAAGGGAAAGGGAAACCCAGTAGAACTAGGGCAAATAGTACATGCAAAGGGATAAGGGTAGTATCAGGTTTCTTATTGAAAGCATTTGATTCAGTATGTCTCTGATTTGAGGCAACTAATTAAAATGCATTCCCGGATGCCTGGAGATTTGATCTTAATAGAAAGATTTAACGTCCTGCATATTCAGGGAAGTCTGGGAACTAAGTAACTTGGAAACATCTCTGCGTAAAGGTCTGAGATATGGAGAGGATAATGGCATTTTGAAGTGTTTTCTTCTGGAGCCCTTTAACTTGTCTGTATATATGACTTGATGTGTTCATTACCGTGTTGTAGAGAGAGATTATTCCCTTTAACCCACATTAACTATGAAGACTTTATTCTTCTGAAATCCTTGAAGATTTATCAGAATCCCTAAATAGCACTGTGATCTAAAAATGGAGCCAATTTACTATTTTTCTGTTTCCTCATAAGCAGTTATCTCCTGGTAATGAGAAGAGCTCTGGGCACATTACTCAGTGGTAGAGCACTTGCCTAGTATGCTTACAGCTCTTGGTCCATCCCTAGACGACACGTACCCAGTGCCCAAAGTCTGCTGTGGTGGTACACGCCTGTAATCCCAACATTTGGGTCTGGTGTTCAAGGGCAGTTTCAGCAACATAACAAGTTAGAGGCTAGCTGGACTCTATGAGACCCTGTCTCAAAACAGCCAGAGAAAAACAAGCTAACAAAGAAACCCCACACAGAACTGCTTGTAATTCTGCCTGGTTGGAAGGTAAAGGTGTGGTCCTTTGCATTCCACAGGTTTATGTCGAACCTTCTCCTCTTCCTACACTTGGACAGTGGTGTTCCTCAGGGGGTCACGCAGCAGGTCACCCACAAGGTGGCACAGCATCTGACAGGAGCCAGCTACGGGGACAACGTGAAGCTTCTTAACAGCATGATCCAGGTCAGGGCTCACAAATCCCTTAGCGCATCCTCTTCCCATAGCACTGTGGTGTTAGTTCTTAGGTATGGGTATGCCAGTCTCTTGGTACAGGAAGGCTGTTAGAGTTGGGCTTTGGTGGAAGTAGAAAGTATTTG